GCGGACCCCTTCGTGCCCAATTCTATTCCTCCACTTCTGTCTCACCTATTCAAAAGATAACCATCGACGACCCTCAAGGCTTCCACGTCCAGGAAGATGGTAGTGTTGATCTCCACCGTACAAACTCAACGTTCTACCGGCAACTGCTGTCAAATCGATGCCAAACTGTACGGGCCTCACTAAAGATCAAACATCTCGTGAAGTCACATTGCATCGCATGAAGTAGCATCGGCACACTCTTTCACCCATATTGAACGCAACAGTCAGTTAGTGAGCCGCCTACCCCATTTGATTTCGCAAGTACGTCAATCAGTCTATCGATGTATGCTTCTTTCCAATTCCTTTTATCTTCCTTCTTTTCATTCACCAACCAAAAAAACTCTCGATGTTTGAGAACTACGCTTCTCGGGCTTCAGCCCGTACGCCATTAAGTAAATTGTGTTTGTTGATTGAGATTTCAGAACAATCGATTATTGTGATTGACAATACCGAATTATCGTTGTCCTAGGGGACGTTTACTCCTAAGGGTTACCAACGAACCAACCAATCGGATCCTTCGATTGTAATACAGATGGCTCCATTACTTACGATAAGGTTCATTCTAATTTTACTTCGGCGGAAGCTAAAAGAATGGAGCCCAACACCACAAAGAAAACGGCAGGCCGTCGAAAAGTATGGTTCGCCCTCGCATCAATGGACCAGGAAAGAAGCGGAAGACCTATCAACGTAGGGCAGTAGAGTATGCGCATAAGAGAGACGTCCTCGACTACATTGACAGCGGTCACAGCCTCGACGAGACAATTTCACAGTTCTACGGCGACTTAAGTGGCTCCGACATTCGTGCTAAGAAAAAACAAATTCACAAGTGGAGCAAGCAGGCTCCAACTATACGTGCTGCATGTGATTCTGGGCGGGGGTGCCACCGAAATCTGCGCGGACTTGGTGAAGCGACTGTGCTCACCAAGGAGGCTGAACGCGCTATCGTAGTGTGGGTGAATTCGCTGCGGAAAGATGGTGCCCCTGTCTCCCGTCTCATGCTTCAACTGCAGGCAAAAGAAGCAGCTGCAGACATTGGCCTTGAAGGCAAATTTGCAGCCACATCAACATGGGTTAAAGCTATTTCTTCGTCGCTATAAATTAGCGCTCCGTGCACGTACCATGCAGGGACAGACGACGCCACAGGATGCTCAAGATGCAGCTACGACATTTCGAGCGCTGGTGCTGCAAACAATCGTCGAAAAGAAGTGTGTACAAGTATACAATGCTGATCAGACGGGTAATATTTTTTATTTTAGTTTTAAAATATTTTTAATGACTTTTCTTCTTGTAGGTGTGAATTTTGAGTATTTACCAAAACAAACCATATCTCAACGTGGAGTAAAAACTGTTTGGGTAACATGTACAAATAAAGAGAAGGCTCGAGCTACAGCTATGCTTTTGGCGGACTGGGAAGGCACAAAATTGGCTCCATTCATAGTGTTCAAGTGTCCACCGTCCAAAATTTAGGGAAAAAGGGAAGAGAACCACACTCTGCGCCATAAGTTTAGCCCGACTATGTGGACCCGTAAAATTAATCCACTTCAAGAGCGCTACAATTGTCAAATTTACGGGAACCAGTGCACATGGTGGAATTCTGATTTGTCTCTGAGTTTTCTCAAATATCACTTTGCTGAGCGCACGAACCGAGATGACCACATTTTACTCATATGGGACGATTTCAGCGGGCATTGGACCCCTGAAGTTGAAGAATATGCAGCGTCTATTAACGTTATCCTACTTAAAGTACCGCCGCGTTACACGTACGTATGCCAACCGGCAGATATTTCGTGGAATAACCCCCTAAAAACTAGGTTGCGAGGTCTGTGGATCAACCGGCTGAGAGACCAACTTGTTGCGTATCGAGCCAAGGAGAAGCAGCGCCAGGAGAAAAGAAACAAACTCCAGAGAGATATTATTCGTGTGCGCAAGGATCTAGTGCAAGAGGAAGCAGAGTCTGAAGTTGAGCGACTTCGGAAACAGTATACAGAAAAGCCCTTTTAAATTGGAGCCCCCAAAAAGAGAAGACATTACGGAGTGGATATCAAAATGCTGAAACGAGCTCTCAGAAAAGACAATTGTTAGTGGATTTGCAAAAGTAGGCATATTGGCTGATACTCGCCGTGCTGAGCAAGATTTTGACTCATATCCGGGACATATTGATAGCGAGCTTGTCCAAGAGCTGGAAAAATGCAATTTAACTGATGGTCATGTCGACTCTGACGATGATATAGAGTCTGAAGCTGGTACCGGTAGTGATAGCGGTAGCGAATGCTAAATACAGTAATTTGCAGTGAATGCTTCGGTAAAACTATGATTTGCATTCATATGTCGGTGCTCACGATTTGCATCCTTTGCTATTGAAGTGACGCCTAGGACTACGATAATTCGGTATAGCCAATCTCAAAATCACAATCCTTTTTTTCACTTTCCTGAAGTAATACATGTATGTACCGTAAGCTTAGTCAAGGAGCCGATCACCACGTTTGGCCAGACAAAAGTGTACCGCTAGTGAGCTCCCAGCCTCGCCAAGGACACCCCTGCTGCCTCCACTTTGCACTAAACTAGACAGCGTTACAACAGCGGGCAGAATGTAGTTGGTCTCAGCCATTTTCGGGTACATACTACTGGTAGACCGTATAGCTCAAAAATAATCTCAGCAAATAACCAGTCTAACAAGTTGTTTTTTCTTAATGACACTGCGATCCAGTACTTCGTTGGGTAATGGTACTATAATACCTACGTCGAATTTTCGCAATACCAAAATAAAAAAGAGAGACAAATGAGGCTACAACACTTTTTTAAAGATGAAAAACGGAGATAGTTTTCTCGGACGACTCGAATAGAAGCCATTTCGAAGCAAACAATGACACTCTATAGGTGTACTCCTCAGTAAACTCAGTAAGGACATTCTGGATTAAGGTGAATCCATTATCGTCCAGCGACGGGGAGAGAGAGAGAGAGGAGGCAAGCGCTTACAGAAATTTGCTGTCAACCCACCACTGCGATTCGTAGTCGTCCCCGAGGATCTCCGTGATGTCCACCGCAGCATCCAGCTGTCCGCTATAGGGAACACGCGCGACAGTAACTGCGCCAGGACCCTCGTTGTTAAACTCCTTGAAGTACACATTGTCGGTGCTGGTTTTGTCGTCCCAAGGTGTCCACCCCTCAAGATTGACGACGTCTTCAAGTTCGCTGTTCTGGAACACAACTCGGGCATACTCACCCCACGGGCGACCCAAGTGGGTCGTTCCGTTCATGGACTCGTTTAGGCCGAACACGTGCGCTTTATTGAAGACGTACTCGGAAGCGATGGTAGCGTTCTTGTTGCCGTTGGCGGTGACCCAGCCATCGCCGACCTACTCAAGATCGCACGACTCGAATCACGCCATCGCCTTTTGACCAAAAATGAAGTCCACAGCACCACTGATGAAGGACCGAGCATACAGCTCACGGCCCTTGTGGGCACACAAAGTGTCCTGGTACCCAGTGAAGTTGCAGGCGTAGAAGCCGTAGTCGGTGCTGTCAACGTACACAGCCACCGCCTGGCCAAGATCCTTAATCTTCCCGGCGGTGTTGGCGACGTTTAGGCTGTACACTTTAACGCCACTTGGCGACTTGAAACCCAGAGTGGTGGTCAAGAAGTTGCGGTTATCCTTAATCTCGGGAGGGATATCCTTCTGCGCCTTCGCCTGGGTGATGGTCACTTCATTGGCAGCATACGACATCGTGTCGCAGGTGTAACCCTGCAGCACCAAAGGACCATTGAGCTTCGGGACCACCACTTGTTCGTGATAGACGCCTGGGAACACGAAGAGAGTATGCTCGTCCGTCGTGTTGGGGATGTGTGTCACGCCCTCCGCCACCGTCTTGTAGCTGCCGCTGTACACACCAGCAGCGTTGACAACGATAGCACCGGGTGGGGGCTGGGTGCGAGCTTGTTCCCCAGTGCACACTCCCGAAGAGTTGACAAGAGGAGCCTGGGCGGGTGATTCAACCCACGTGTCTGGGCTACCGCAGTCGACGTTGGCCGTAGCTGCAGCACCGATCGCAGTACAAGCGAGAATTACGACAGGAAGTGCAAGAACCTTTATGGTGTACGTTGATATGTCGGGTTAATTGCCGAGGGGAAATTGAAAAGTGAGGTGTCCAGACAGGTCGCTTTTTTCGGCGATTGTTAGCCGCTTTGAATGGCTCATTTAGCTTTGGATTATGGATTATGGTGCGCTGGGGGACACATTTCATGCTGAATGAGCGTCTATCCGCGAGGTCGCAGACATGTTGTCGTTTCATGCATTTGCACCACAAATTTGGTGTGCGTGTATCCATATTGAAAACTGTACATGAATGATCTTTGGATCGGACAGTGTGCCTTGGCTCCAAAATAGCACTTTTTATATTGAGAGCCGTACAGATACGTGTTCTGTAGTACAGAGTCTGTACATGTAGGACGTTGCTAAAATGTAAAAGCTCGCTAACGTTAAGTCATTGAACTAGTGATTTGGCCAGGCGTAATAAAAATATGTTGACCATGAGCAGAAATCTCTGAAAGGAGATTTTAATTTACAGATTTTAAACGCCAGGTGCCGAAACTAATGAAGACGAGATCCCAGGCTCAACAACTGTAATATTACTACATATAACGGACGCGCCCTATTAGAGTCCGGACTATATTTAACCCTTTAACAGCGCTATTCTGTATTCTACAGAATAAGAATTATGACAGGACATAATTTCCAGCAAGCTTGTAATCGTCGCAATTCCTCGCATGCTTGTGTTTGTAAAGGGTAGAGATGGGTGGTTCGATCTTGACGGATCTACGAAGGGAAGATAGCCGGGGATAATTCGAATTGAATAGAAAAGACAGTATAAGATGACTGGAGGTTTTGAAAATTCAGTTTCTTGCTATTTTCGGCAGTTGTTGGTGACCACAGATTTCAGATTTATTCGAGAATGAACGCTCCCAACGAGAAACCGTTCAAGCAGTTATGGCGCGAGCTATCCAAGGCAGGATGAAAAGAGAGGAAGCCTAAAGGACTGAGTGCGGACTTCACGTACGTGATTTTCAGTGTGACTGGCCGCTTGGATGCAGAGAAGCGCGGAGTTAAATACTTCGCTGGTACGTTCTGCAGACAGCTCGGTATATATACTCACAGTACTGACAGATATGTGCAGGCGAACAAGAACTCATGACATTTGGACGTCAGGCACATCCAGCTCATCATCGAAGTCACAACCAATACTGTCGTTGTCATCTTCGGCTTCATCGCACAGATTCACATCATCTACAGCAACTGACCCGAACAGCTTCTCCCCACGTAGCGCATCCATGAAGTTCTCTCCATCAAACTCATCAATCCCGTTGAAATCGTCTCTTTCACTCTTCGACTCGTCGGCACGTTCATGACCCGAGCGTACATCGTATTCCGGATCCTCCATACTAGTAGTGGTGCTCCCACCTTCTTGCTCTGTATCTGGCTGAATTGCTTGACCTGCTTGATTCGACGGTGTAAGCTGAAGTACGCGGAGGGAAACTCGAAGGAGGAGTTGGAGGAGTAGGCATCACCTCCCAAAGTTGGTGCCGCTTGTTCTTCCGCTGGCAGCACTTCTTCATG